CCGTTGTTTGTTTGTTTGTTGTTATTGTCGTCATCATCATCGTATATGGCATTGTGTGTAGCATAACCAGGAGAGCCTAAGATTACCTGACAGCCAGAAGTTCTAGCTCTTTTAGCGTTAAGCGAGCTAGACTTGTTTTTAAGGCAAGAGACGTTTCAGGGGTGGTTTGTCAATACGGGTAATGCTAAAGCTCTCCAGCACCAGCTGTGAATGCCGGTGTCCCCGCCATGTGAACCAGGTCTAGCATCTCTAGACTCCTCAAGCATTCTGTGGTGGAAACTGCCGTCGAGTCACAGCCAACTTGGTAGGCTTGCCAACTCCAGACTGGATAAATTCCTGGAGATCTGAGGGGTAGATAGACCATGGGGGAGGCTGGGTTTGGGGAGGGGAGGGGAGGGGAGGGAGCTCAGGAGGGTATAATGCACAGAGTCCCCCCTCCAAAGCAGCCATTTTCTCCAGAGGAACTGATCTGGGGAGAGTCTGGAGATGTCTTGTAATACCGGGAGATCTCCAGGCTCCACCTGGAAGCTGGCAACCAATGCTCCCTCTAAGCTGTGGAGTCTTGTGAGCAAAAATCCTACTTTGTGAGCTACCGGCATTAAAGTTGCGAGCAAGCGATTTGGCTACTGCATAAATTACTTTGCTCTGGAGCCATCCTTCCTGAGCTAAGACAAAAAAATGTGTGCGCTTGAAGCTGAAAAACTGCAAGCTAGCTCACACTAACTCAGCTTAGAGGGAACACTACTGGCAACCCTGTGGGACCCTGGGTAGTTTTGAAGAGATGAACCAGGGGGTGGTTTTCGACTGCCTCTCCTCTGGCTTCCTTGGTGGTCTCCCACCCAGGTACTGACCAGGGCTGACCCTGCTTAGCTTCTAGGATCTGACGTGATCAGGCTCGCCTGGGCCTTCCGGGCCAGGACCTATGAAATGTATATTTTATTTTCACTGACATTATTTATAGTCCACCTTTCTTCTCAGGGGGATGCAAAGCAGATGACACAGAGTGAGTCAGTGAAGAAATAAGTAAACAAAGGTGTTTCCTTGGCAAATGGGATCAATTGGGAAGTAATTTGGAAGTCCAGAATTTAAGCAGAGAACTGTCCAGAGCAGATGTCTCTTTGTACTTAGGGCGTTCACCTCCTAGGGATGATCCTGCCCAGGGGTCGTTTCGTAGAAAAAGAGCTAGGGGAACTCATTAGCATAGCTCATTAGCATATGCCACACCCCCTGACATCACCGGAAGTGTGTCATAAGGCCACACACCCCGCCCCCAAAGGTCCCGGCCGCCGCCGGCCTTGCAGCACCACTGCCGAGCCCATGAGGGGCCGGGCGGTGGACCTACAAGGCCGGCGGGAGTGCAAGGAAGCCCCATGAAGGCCCTCCCTGGCCCCAGGCAGGCAGGGGTGGGGAGAGGCAGGGAGGAAGCAACTTACCCTCCCTGTTCTCCTGCCTCCTCCTGGCTGAATGAGGGCCGGAAGTGGGGCAGCCGGAAGCAGGGGGTGGGGCTTCGTCATGTGCCCCGCCCCCATACCACACCCGGGGGAACTGCGATCCCCCCCCCCGAAATGACCTCTGATCCTGCCCTTCCTTGGTTTTTTGGGGCTGCCCCATCTTCGTCTTTGTACAGCATCATTCTCCCATCAATACCTTGTTATCCTTATGCTGATCCTATGTCCCCAGGCTTGATTTGAGGCTTTGGAGCCAGTCTTGGTGTAGTGGTTAAATACGCGGACTCTAATCTGGGAGAACCGGGTTTGATTCTCCACTCTTCCACTTGCACCTGGCTGGATGACCTTGGGCAAGCCATAACTCTGGCACAGCTGTTCTTGAAAGAGCAGTTCTTGAGGGAGCTCTCTCAGCCCCACCTACCTCACAGGGTGCCTGTTGTGGGGAGGGGAGGGGAACGGAGTTTGTAAGCTGCTCTGAGACACCTTTGGGTAGTGAAGGGCGGGGTATAAATCCAATCCCTTATCTTCTTCTTCACTGGCAGCAGCATCTCCAAGAGAGACGAAGAAACAGGGTGCCTCGGTGTATCTTCAGAGTGCCTGTGCTGGCCTTCCCCACTGGCCCTGTCTCCGAACCATTTCTCAGTCCATCTCGAAAAGCTGCAACTGAACTAGGCTCTGCAACTTCTTCTTTTCTAAGGCTCACACAAACAACACAAGGGAATATAGAAAGTGAAAAACAATTAAGTATTGACAGTGCCACACATTATGCGGTCGACTTTCTTGCATTGGGAACTGCTCGGAAGGGTGTGACTCACAACTATATTTGCACAACTAGATTTGGACCCCAGCTGCTCTCTTAGGTGTTGACAGCCACCCATCACCAGTGCAGCCACAATGACTACTGGTTTCCTTGTTCTTTTCTTCACCCTTTTATTTTATTCTCTCATGGCTGCCCTCCTTTGTTCTTAAGGGTTTCTCCAAGGTGATGCTGAGCCAAGCGAAGCCGGGAGTGTCAGCGTAACCTCTTTAAGAGTCCCGAACCAAACCTAGATGTTAAGAACATAACAACATAAGAGATGCCAATGTTGGATCAGGCCAAAGGCCCATCCAGTCCAACACTCTGTGTCACACAGTGGCCAGAAATACCAGTGCCATCAGGAGGTCCACCAGTGGGGCCAGGACATTAGAAGCCCTCCCACTGTTGACTCCCCCCAGCACCAAGAACTCAGAGCATCATTTGCCCCAGAGTCCCTAGCTATACCTTGTGGCTAATAGCCACTGATGGACCTCTGCTCCATATGCTTATCTAATTCCCTCTTGAAGCCGTCCATGCTTATAGCCTCCACCACCTCCTGTGGCAGTGAATTCCATGTGTTAATCACTCTTTGGGTGAAGAAGTACTTCCTTTTATCCGTTCTAACCCGACCGCTCAGCAGTTTCATGGAGTGCCCACGGGTTCTTGTATTGTGAGAAAGGGAGAAAAGTACCTCTTTCTCTACCTGTTCTTTCCCATGCATAATCTTGTAAACCTCAATCATGTCACCCCTCAGTCGTCTTTTCTCCAAGCTAAAGAGCCCTAAGCGCTTTAAGCTTTCCTCATAGGGAAAGTGTTCCAACCCTTTTATCATTTGAGTTGCCCTTTTCTGCACTTTCCCCAAAGCTATAATATCCTTTTTAAGGTGTGGTGACCAGAACTGCACACAGTATTCCAAATGAGGTCGCACCATTGATTTATATAGGGGCATTATGATATTGGCTGATCTGTTTTCAATACCCTTCCTAATAATCCCCAGCATAGCATTGGCCTTTTTTATTGCAGTCACACACTGTCTCGACATTTTCAGTGAGTTATCTACTACAACTCCAAGATCTCTCTCTTGGTCAGTCTCTGCCAGTTCAGACCCCATCAATGTGTATTTATAGTTAGGATTTTTGGCTCCAATGTGCATCACCTTGCACTTGGCCACATTGAACCCCATTTGCCATGTTGACGCCCACTTGCCCATCCTTGACAGATCCCTTTGGAGTGCCTCACAATCCTCACTGGTTTCCACCACCCTGTCTTAGTTGTTGACAATAGGGTTGCCAAACCAGAGGTCATTTCGGGCGGGATCGCGGGGGAACACAGTTCCCCCGGGTGAGGTGCAGGGGGTGGGGCACATGACGAAGCCCCGCCCCCTGCTTCCGGCCGCCCCACTTCCAGCCCTCATTCAGCCAGGAGGAGGCAGGAGAAGAGGGAGGGTAAGTAGCTTCCTCCCCGCCTCTCCCCACCCCTGCCTGCCTGGGGCCAGGGAGGGCCTTGGCGGGGCTTCCTCGCACTTCCACCAGCCTTGCAGGTCCACCGCTAATGAGTTATGCTAATGAGTTCCCCTAGCTCTTTTTCTACGAAATGACCCCTGTTCCAACCCTTTTTTTCCCAGCGGTGGGGGGCTCCCGGACGGCGTCCCGGTCGTGCACACGCAAAGTGCGCACGCGTTTGAGGGGAAAACATAGAGTTTCCCCCTCAAATGGCTGTGGCCCCGCCCCCAGCGTGCCCGGTGTCATGACTTCACATCCAGGTGACGTGGATGCCGGGGTGGGTTTTCCCCCGGGGCCTGATTCCGCGGGGGCGGAAATCAGGCCTCCAAAGCGGGGGGAAATCCGCCCCCCGGGGGGATTTGGCAGCCCTAGTTGACAACCACCTGTCACCAATGCAGCCACAATGGCCGCTGGCTTCCTTGTTCTTTTCTTCACCATTTTATTTTATCCTTTCATGACTGCCATCCTTTGTTCTTCAGGGTTTCTCCAAGGTGATGCCTTCTTTTTAACTCCCTCCTTGTCCCAAACTTGGTCTGAATCTGGCCCGTAGCCTGGATTTTTTAAGTCAGGGGTCATTTAAACTTTTTCGGGGGCACTAGCTAATTGAAGTAAAGGAATACCCGGCTCCTTCCCTGCGCCCGCTGCAACCACTCAGGGGCCCTGGGCTGGATGGGAAGTCGCAGGGGGCCTTGCAAGTAAGTCAGGGGGCCTAGCCTGAGATGCCCCACTGTAGCTACAGGCCTGGTCTGAATCCCTTTGCTTTATGGGCCGTGCTCCATGGAGTCCCCCAGAGAACTACAGAGTTTGCAAGCTGGAGAGGCCCTGTCAGGGGAATAACTCGGGGTGGCCAACTGCGGGCGCAGTGCTGACTTGTCTTTTGGTTCCCTTCAGGAGTTTCCTGTGGATCAGTGGGGCTCTTGGAATGCTGCCAGGATGGATCTGCGAGATTACCAGTGGGAAGTCATTGAGCCTGCCCTAGAGGGCAAGAATATAATAATCTGGCTGCCAACAGGTGCTGGGAAGACCAGGGCAGCTGCCTACATCTGTAAGAGGCATTTGGAGAGCCGAGATAAGAGCAAGGTTGCTGTGTTGGTCAACACGGTAAGAAGCAAGGGACCACGGTGGGGTGAGAAGAAGCTCTTCCCAAGAGACAAAGTTTCAGAGCCTTCTTTGGGTGGTGTCTCACTTCTCCATCCTTCTGTGCCCTGTCAGGTGCCTCTGGTAGACCAGCACCTGAAGAATGAGTTCAGCTTCCTGCAGAATCACTTCCAGATCACCGCCATCAGTGGGGACAGGGGACTGAAGTCGTTCTTCTCAGAAGAGCTGAAGTGCAACGATTTGATCATCTGCACAGCCCAAATCCTACAAAATGCCCTCCAGAGCCGAGAAGAGGAAATGCATGTGGAGCTGACGGGTGAGTGTCTGGTTGGGGGTGTGCGTGTATCTGTGCGTCTCTGCACATGGAGTTGTTCGGCTCTGGCTAGTATTTGGATGGGAGACCTCCAAGGGATACCAGGGCCGTGACGCAGAGGCAGGCAATGGCAAAACCACCTCTGAAACGTCTCTTGCCTGAAAACAAAGTCTAGCTCACCACCTAGTGGTGCATAACACTAAAAGAGCTAGAACTTGTGGCTGCCAGACAATCTTAGAATCTCCTGGCTATAAGGCACGCACTGCCATATGATAATTATTATGAATTATTATTGTTCAACTCAGCCCACTGGGAGAGGTTTTGTGGAGGTAGAAGATCTGCCCCCGCAGTCCTTTGTGATTCAGGAGATTGTTGACTGGGCTGTCCCAGCTCTTGCATTGTCATGCATAATGTATTCTACCACAAATACCATATTTACTCAAAAGGAAGACAGCCTGATCGTAAGACAACCCTGCTAAAAATGTTATGCACACACGCACACACACACACACACAAATTAGTACTGGACATAGTATAACTCATATATAAATTTAAGCTGACCCCCCTCATTTTTTTCTGATGGCATACCTGTGGGGGGGAATCTAGTCTTGCTTTTAAGTAAATACAGTAAAGGTGGGCTTCTCCCGCCCCTCCTTTTGCTATTACTATACAAGTACTGCCCTGTGTCATCACTAGTTGCACAAGAGAGTGATTAAAATGTGGAATTCGCTGCCAGAGGATGTAGGGATGGCCACAGGAATAGATAGATTTAAAAGGGGGTTAGATAGATTCCTGGAGGATAAATCTATCAGTGGCTTCTAGCCATGGTGACTGAGGCGAACCTCCACATTGAGAGGCAACATCAGGGGAAGGTCTTGGGCCTCTATGCCCTCTTGTTGGTCCTCCAGAGGAACTGGTTGGCTACTGTGTGAGACAGGATGCCGGACTAGATGGACCATTGGTCTGATCCAGCAGGGCTCTTCTTATGTCCCTAAGAGGTGATTCCTACACAAAAGCTCATCTTCATCAGAAAGGACAAGTATGCTTGAAAAACTTTACCCAGCCCTCTGTCTTTCAACAGAGCCCCTTCTTTTACTGCTGCTGAGGAAAATTAATTCATTGATTCCTTGCCCTGTGATCACTGCTGTTGTTGCTGGTGCAGTAAGGGGGAAAGTCATTTTCCCCTACACTAGAGTTCCTACCTGCCCCTCTATTGCTTCTGCCTTAAGGAAGGAGCAGGCCAGATGATGTGAAACTGACATGGGTTTGTCGGTGTAGATTTGATTTATTTACTTAGTACATTTATGCCCCACTTTTCAGCCTAATGGGAAGGCAAAGTGGTTTACAACATCCTCCCTTCCTCCATTTTATCCTCACAACAACCATGTGAGGTAGGTTAGGCTGAGAGAGTATGACTGGCTCAAGGTCACCAAGCAAGCAGCCATGGCAGAGTGGGGATTCCAGTCTGGGTCTCCCAGATTAACTAGTCCAGCACTCTAACCACTGTGCCACACTGGCTCTCCTGTACTGTTTAGAGATTGGCTGGACACACTAAGCTTCTTTGGCGGTGTGTGCAAAGTGCTGTCAAGTTGTAGCCGAATCAACGGTGACCCCAAGCAAGGGGCTTTCAAGGCAAGTGAGAAGCAGAGGCACTCTGCCATTGCCTTCCTCTGCAGAGCCCTCCTTAGTGGTCTGACTGTGTCAGACTGTACCATTTATTTATTTATTCGTTATTTTCAGTTTGTATCCCGCCTTGCAGGCGAACTGTCTCAAGGCAGCGTACAAGCATTAAAATACAATAAAACAGTAAATACAATAAAATACAATAAAATAGACATAGGCAACCTACATAACATCATAAAAATACCACTGTACAAATGATGGCTTCGGCTGTTCGAGTCCCACCGTGGCCGGGGTGAGCTTCTGGTCCATGTCCCAGCTCCCGGCCACCCAGCGGTTCGAAAGCCCGAACGGGCGAGTAGATGAATGGGTACCTGCTCTTAAAAGTGGGGGGGCACCCTTCCTTCCCTTCGTGGTGGCGTGGCAGTGATTGAGGAACGGAGAGGTGGTGGTGGCGAAACATTGCAGCGGCAGCAACGGTGGCGAAGCGAGCGGCTCGGGAGGAAATTGGGCCGGCGAAGCATGGCGGCGGGGCAACACGGCAAGCCGGAGCCAATTGGGACAGAGGCTGGCTGCGGTAGCACGTGCTGGCGTGCGCTGTGGGTCCATACCCGGAAGGAGCCGCTGCGACCAAAAGGAAGACCTGCGCCAAAAAGACGCCGTGGCCCGGATTGAAGAACCTCCGTAAGAAACAACAACAACTAAGACCCTGCCATGGGTGCCTGATAGGTAGTCCCTTCCCCTCATTGTGTGTGTGGCCCTAGTAAAAGGTGATGTAATTAATAATTGTACAATGTAAACCGCTCAGAGCCCTTAGGGGGTGAGCGGTCTATAAATTGAAAGTTAAATAAATAAATAAAATAAAATGGCAGCATTCAGTATAAGTGGCAGGCAGTATTCGCCAATGTATCATACAAGCCGTAGTATGTTCTGGTGACTCATTCATCAGTGGCGGCTCCTAATCAAAAGCCTGGTGAAAGAGCTCCGTTTTACAGGCCCTGCGGAACTGTAAAAGGTCCCGCAGGGCCCTGATGTTATCCGGGATCTTGTTGCACCAGTGTGGAGCCGTCACTGTGAAGGCCCTGGTTCTAGTAATGGCCAACCTGGCGTCCCTCGGGCCAGGGAGAGTCAGGCGATTCTGTGTCCCTGACCTCAGTGCTCTCTGGGGCACATATGGGGAAAGGCGGTCCCTCAAGTAGGCAGGCCCCCGACCCTATAGGGCTTTAAAGGTCAAAACCAGCACCTTGAAACGAATCCGGTAAGCTATTGTCAGCCAGTGCAATGCCTTCAGCCATGCCGCCTTCCCTCCCAAGCTGTCTTATATGTGTGTAAAGTGGTATCAAGCCTCACAGCTGCCTTATGGCCTCTCCACAGGCTTTTCAAATCAAGGGATTAAGCAGAGGTGGTTTGCCATTTGCCTTCCTCTGCAACCTGTTCCTTAGTGGTCTCCCATCCAAATACTGACCCTGCTTAGCTTTTGAGATCTCTTGAGATCGGGCGATATCATGACACCTTCCTTCCCAGGCTTTCTTATAGTAAGTCATCCCCTGACCTGGATAACCTAGGAGATCACGATCTCGCCAGATCTCGGTAGCTAAGCAGGGTTGGCTGTGGCTCGTACTTGGAAGGGCAACCCTTCAAGAAATTGTGGCGCAGGGGCAGACAATGGCAAGACCCCTCTGAAATGTCTCTTGCCTAATAAACAAGTCTAGCTTGCCATCTGATGGTGCATAACGCTAAAAGAGCTAGAACTTCTTGCTGCCAGAAATCTTAGGCTGCCAGAGATCTGGCTGCCAGAAATCTGCGGATCTCTTGGCTAATATTAAGTCATACAGAGCATTGCTCTGTCAGTGTCATTTCTGTGTACTCAGACTGGCAGTGGCTCTCCAGGGTCTCACGAAGAAGTTCTTTCACATCACCTACTACCTGATCCTTTCAACTAGAAGTGCCAAGGATTGAATCTGGGACCTTCTGCATGCAAAGAAGATGCTCTACCATACTGACTCTCAGGCCCTCCCCTGTACTATGGCCCTTCAAGGGAGGGGCCATGGCTCAATGGCAGAGCATCTGCTTTGCAAGCAGAAGGTCCCAGGCTCAACCCTGGTGTCTGCAGTTGTACGTGTCCAATAATAAGTGGTGTGAAAGACAGCCTAGAAAGCCATGGCTAGTAACAGTAGACAATACTGACCTTAACAGACCAGTGACTGGACACAGTAAAAGGTAGTTTCGTGTGTTTTATAGGACTGTAGGGGCAAAGCGAGGAAAGCCTTCACCATTAAAGCATGGCGTGTACACCAGCACTGGAACCAGTTTGCATATACTGCCTATTTAAAGTTTTCCCTTTCCACCACTGTGGTTCTGTTACCCTTTCAAAGAAGTGAAAAAAGAGACAAAATAAACTAAAACCTTTCTTCATTTCATCTAATCCCCCCCCCAAAAAAACCCCACCCTATAATAGGACTAGGTACACCCCAGGAGTTTCTTCTCAGAGGGATAGTATTTCAGAACAAGTAATGAAGGAGGAGCCCGCCAAAAAGGGAGGCAGGTTTAAAACTCTCCCCAAGCTTTGCGATAAACATAGAGCGGCTCACATAAGTTAGCTCAGGAACCCTTACAACAGTTCTGCAAGGCAGGCCAGTGTTTTTAGCCCCATACTGCATATGGGAGGCTGAACCTGAAGGCCTTACTATCTGTTCATAGGAAAGGTGGGCTTGAAACCGTGAACTTTTTTTGGCTAACATTCCCAATCTCTCTGTTCTGCATCAGCTCTTTGTTCTTTTCTTTTTTTGGCATTACATGATCTCTCTTTAAGTTTTCCTCTGTGGCCAAGAAACATAAGGGTGAGTGCTGGCTGCTCGTTTTAATCAAACTCTCCGGATTCTGAGTGATGCAGCATTTTGTGCTGGCCGCCTCATGCAGCATTTATCACACACCTCCCCAGACCGCCGCCACTTCCTTGAGCTCTTCCTCATCAGACCCTTGCTCTGTCCGGATAAGAAGGTCAAAAATTATTGGGGGCAGAGGTCATTTCAGGGGGGGGATCGCAGTTCCCCTGAGTGAGGCACAGGGGGCGGGGCACATGATGAAGCCCCGCCCCTGCTTCCGGCCACCCCGCTTCCGGCCCTCATTCAGCCAGGAGGAGGCAGGAGAAGAGGGAGGGTAAGTTGCTTCCTCCCTGCCTCTCCCTACCCCTGCCTGCCTGGGGCCAGGGAGGGCCTTCGTGGAGCTTCCTTGCACTCCCGGCGGCCTTGCAGGTCCACCGCTGAGCCCCTCATGGGGCTCGGCAGTGGAGCTGCAAGGCCGGCGGGGGCAGCCGGGACCATTGGGGGCAGGGTGTGTGGCCTTATGACACACTTCCGGTGATGTCAAGGGGTGTGGCCTTATGACACACTTCCGGTGATGTCAGGGGGTGTGGCATATGCTATTGAGTTATGCTAATGAGTTCCCCTAGCTCTTTTTCTACGAAACGACCCCTGATTGGGGGCATCTATTTGATGGAGCACAGACAAGCTCCCCAGTTGCACGTGTGGGTCTCTACCTTTCCTCATCACTTTACAGATTTCTCCTTGCTGGTGATTGACGAGTGCCACCACACCCACAAGGAAAGCACGTACAACAAGATCATGCAGGACTACCTGGAGCGTAAGATGAAAGGCCAACAGAACTTGCCACAAATCGTGGGGCTCACGGCCTCACTGGGCACTGGAGGGGCCAACTCCGTTAACGGAGCCCAAGACCATATCTTACAGGTGAGGCTGATGGAAGATGTTTGGCCCGTGTATTGGAGACACCTCCTTTTAAAAGTCTTTCCACACAACTTCAGAGACTGCCCTGGTCTGTATATTTGGGCCTTCTTTACACAAACAGCAGATGAGGACTTGGATCCAGACTAGATGCTTTTATGCAGCTGCAAGGATTTCTGTCCAAGGAACACTACTTTTCCTCCCCCTCTTCTGGGACCCCCAAATGTTCCCAGAAATCTTGTCCTGGAGGCCCCTCTCCCCAAGGACAGTATTTTCAGGGGGCATTTTGGGCTGCCATGGGAAGGCAAGCGAGGAAATATGCACATTTGTTGCATATAGAAAACAAGATGTCAGGAAGAAGAATTTTAGCAGTTTCCAGACATACCTGGAAGTGCCACAGCATGCTTGTGCATTCCTCTTTCCACCACACTCCCTTTTTAGAGAGCCAGTTTGGTGTAGTGGTTAGGAGTGTGGACTCTAATCTGGGAGAACCAGGTTTGATTCCCCACTTCTCCACGTGCAGCTGCTGGTGTGACCTTGGATCAGTCAGAAGTTCTTTCAGAGCTGTTCTCTCAAGAGCAGTTCTCTCAGAGCTCTCTCAGCCCCACCTACCTCACAGGGTGTCTGTTGCGGGGAGGGGAAGGAAAAGGAGAGTGTAAGCCACTCTTGAGACTCCTTCGGGTAGTGAAGAGCAGGGTTGAAATCCAGTCTCTTCTCCTCTCTGCAGGGAACTCCTACTACCAATATGGGGATGCTGTGTCTAATATTGTGACCTGTATCTCAAATACTTGTGTAATTGGCATTACTCTTTCCAGATTTGTGCCAACCTGGATGCTGCAAAAATCATGTCCTCTGATAAATACAAGTTCTACCTTAACACGCATGTCCCACAACCTAAGAAGCAGTATGACGTGACTGAAGAACGGCCCCTGGTAAGTGTTTCCTAAAACTGCATGGTGAATGTGCTATAATCGGGGTCCCTGACCTTGTTGAGCCTGTGGGTGTCTTTGGAATCTTGAGAGCAGGTAGTGGGAGCCACAGCAAAATGGCAGATGAGGGTGGGACCAATCACAAAATGGCAGCCCTGAGGACTGTGCCCAATCACAACATGCTGGGAGGTTCCACACACTGCTGGGAAGTTCCAAGCCAAGCATCCTTCTACAGTGGAGGCAGCTGTTTCCAGATAGGTGCTCCCTGCAGATACAAAGCTGATGGTTCCTTGGGTCTTCTGAAGTTGAAAGGTATTCTTAGAAAAATATTATTTAGCAGAGATTAAATCAGCAGAGCAATGAGTAAAGAGTCAGAGTCCATGTGCGTGTTTGAAAAAGAAAACAGCTTTACTTGAACTAACAGGGAAAAGGTAAACGGAACTTAAAAGAACAGAGTCTAAATCCAACGTGTTTACTGCTAGAAGACTACTACAAGGAATGGTCTCTCTTCTTCTCCAAGCAAACAAAGTGAGGAAGAGACCCCAATATGCAAAATAGCCAATACATTGATTTCAAGTCACAATGCTACAGGTTATTTCACTACAACCTCCTCCAAGATTTGCAGGCTTTTCTCACTTGATAAGGATAACAGATTGGTTACAATAAACACATGTGACTTCCTGTTGACTAACAAACGAAGTGAACACTATAATTACTGAAGTGTTTTAACTTGCTAAACCCAACAAGGAGCCACAGCAAAATGGCAGATGGGGGTGGGACCAATCACAAAATGGCTGCCCTGAGGACTGTGTCCATTCACAACATGAAGGGAGGTTCCACTCCACACACTGTTGGGAAGTTCCAAGCCAAGCATCCTTCTGTAGTGGAGGCAACTGTTTCCAAATAGGTGCTCCCTGCAGATACAAAGCTGATGGTTCCTTGGGCCTTCTGAAGTACCGCCTACTCCAGTGTGGTGGAGGAAAGCTTCTTTGATTAGGAAGAGGAACAAGTGAGCACCAGAAAGCACATTAGCGGGTTTCCTGGCACCCATGGACACCATTTTAAGGATCATTGTCTAGCAAGATTAGAGGAGTGGAGATGTCATGATAGGAAGATGCCTCTGGAGTTACAAGCAAATCACCACATGCCCATGTGACATATTAGAAAAGGCCTTGTCCTGATTTCTCCTTCCCAGGATCCCTTTGGTGAGAAGATCAAGGAGATAATGTTCCAGATCCATGCTTACCTGAATGATCCTGACTTGTCTACTGATTTTGGCACTCAGATATATGAACAACGCATTGTGGAGCTTCAGAAAGAAGGTAATAATGTCACAAAGGCTTTGCAGGACATTGACATTAAGGGGCTTATGTTTAATTTCATGTGTTCTAAAAGTGGGGTTTGTGTTGTTAAAATAAATGAACATTGGGAAAGGAAGCATTCCCAATGACAAGTTTAATATCTTACTGGCTGGACGATATTCTATCCCCACAGCGTAAGGCTGTTTAACTATAAATATCTTCAGTTTCTGATTCTTGGGTTTTTACTATCAAAAACTATGCTCTACATTACAGAAAATCTGTTTAAAAGACAGTTTTGCACCTTGTTGTGAAGCCCAACAATCGTCAGAACTGGGCAGGCAAGGAGATTCAAGAAAGAGGGGCTCTTAAGAACAAATAACCTGTTCTCTTGAAGGGGAAACTGTAGGAATATTATCTAGGGAATGCTAGTTAACTCTGGTACTTAGGAGGAAATTTAGCCTCACACCATTCAGGACTTTGTAGTCTAGAATCTGACCTTGTGAATTGAGCATAGGCTATAATGTGCAGATGTAGCTAAGATTTTAGGATTATTTTTTTTTTGCATTGGCAGTAATGAAAAAGCAGGTCCAATCTGATTTGTTAATGAACTGAAACAATATTACAGTCCTAAAAGAAACAGGAGACAAACTCACTGCTAATACCTTTTGGTAAAATTAAATACAGAGAATTTCTTCATAGATGGATTTTGAGTCAACCATTTTTATAGTTCAGAGAAGAAGAAAAATCCAACTTCTAGGTTAAGGAATCCCTTTCACATTTTTTTTCATCTTCTGCTTGTTGACCAAGGATCCCTTTAGCAAAATGTTGTTCTATTTAAAGTGTGGTAATGAATTGATGTTTTTAAAAACACAAACCCTACTTGCCGCAGCTTACCTCCTGATAAGAATGAAAAAACAAGCATTGGAAATTCAGATGCACAAAGAAAAGAACAAAGCATTCTGAGAGCTATGTCAGGCATCTTATTAGGTGGTCTTACTGTAGGGATGTGCAACTGGGCTGAATTGCCATTCTTGGAGGAGTGCCACTTGGACCCTTAGTTTTCCTTGTATTTAGAGGCAAAATATTACAAGGAGAGAGTGACACATGGTCAAAAGAAGCTGCTAAGGCATCATCCTGAGCACACAAAACTGCTGTATGGTGTATCCAGGCCAGTTAGTGTCTCTGACGGCAGCTCTTTCATATCGTCTACTATTTGATTCTTTTAACTGGAGAGGATGAGGTGTGAACCACTCTTGGGTGTGCAAAGGAGATGCCATTGAGCCCCAACCCTTCCCTAAATACACCTGCCCTGGGCAGCTTTTCCATTAATTGGGATTGGTTTGAGGTTGCATCCCCTTTGTGCTCTCCAAGGGAACTGGCTGCTAACCCATGTGGTGTGAAAGCCAGTCCAAAAGGAGTTTGTTCATACTGTCTGCACCAGATCATATTTCCAAACCATCAGTAGGCACCTTCTGCTTATGTTTGCAATGTACAAGATGTTGGAAATGTATGTGTTTGTAAGGTCTCACAATCCAGTCATTATAGGGTTAACTTGCTTACCTTTCTATGCTATTGTTTAGACTGACCTGGAAGGGAAACCTGGCTCAGAGCCAATGGGGAGAAAACCAGGGGAAAGTGGCTTGTATCGTAATACTGATTGGTTACTGGTTTCAGGTGACTTCCTTTCTAGGGGTCAAGAAGAAGCAGATACTCCATTGATTAGGAGTCTTTTCTAGCCATGCTTTCTTAGAAGATGTTAGAAATGTAGCTCTTAGATCTTTGTTTCTTTATAGGTCTCCTGTATACCCTTTACCTTTAGAAATAATGGGGTTTTTTAACATGAAGAAATCTCTCCAGTGAAGCAAGATCCACTGAAACTCTGAGTAATTTAAACATTTTGACTATTTTTCCAACACAAGAGAGGATCTTTAAGGGGTGAAAGAATCAACATTTTAAAAAGGGTAATCTGGGCTGATAGCAGCGATGACCCCTCTCTTCTACCACGTTGTCAGGAGCAGAAGGATTCTGCCGAAAGACCCGAGTGTGTGCCTTGCACCTGCGTAAATACAATGATGCCCTGCTGATCAATGACACAGTGCGTATGATTGATGCCTTCCAAACCCTGGATGAGTTTTACCTACTGGAGAGAGCCATGAAGGAGCTGGAGGATGTGACTGAGCGCTACTTGGTTCAGATCTTTGACCGTGAGTGGGCCTGTACGGGGAATGGTGGCAGTGTCGCTCCTTGGCCTTTCGGTTGAGATCCAGGGTGGGAACGTTGACAAGAGAGAGGAAGTCTCCAAGCAATGGTTGGTGCATGAATGGAGTGCTTCAAGAGATGGCTTCCTTACTACCTGGTATACTCTGTACCAGAGGCCTCCCTATGCAGTGCCCGTGGGTGCCGCAGCACCCTCTGGCAACTTTCCTGGCACTCACCAACCGTTTTTTTAGAAAGTGGGTGGGGCCACTGCCTAGCGGGACTTCTGATTGGCTGGGCAGATCAAAATAACATTATTTCAGTTGCAGTGTCGGTTTTGTTCTCTGTCACTCCTCTTTCCCAGTGTATTTTTTAGATTACCCTTCTTCTCCCCCGCACTTGGGCTCCCTCCATTTGACTGACTCTGCCTCCTGTGTCAGCCATTTTGTAGTTGTGCTCACCACCCTGTGTGTGAAAATTCCAAAGCTGTCCACAGGCTCAAAAGGGCTGGGGACCCTTTATTTCTTGAGGAGGTTTCTGTGTCCCTCTCTCTCCAGGTTCCTGTAGCTGGCCATTCAAATAATAAAATATCAGTATAAACATGAACAAGCCGATAGAATAAGCCCAGGGACATAAAGCTGTACATAAAACAGACTTCAGATCAGAGGCAGAATGCAAAGCAGCTGGAAAGATAAAATGCCTAATTAGAAGCCTGGGTAAAAAAAGAAATGTTTTGGCCTGGCACTGAAAAGACCATAAGGGAGAAGCCTCAAGGGAGAAGGGCTTTCCAGAGGCAAGGTGCCACCACAGAAAATGCCCTGTTTCTGTGTACCACCTGCCTCACCTCTGAAGGTGGCGGCACCAAATGCAGGTCTTGGGAGGCAGATCTTAACTGGCAGGCTGGACAATACAGGAGGAGATGGTCCTTCAAGTACTTTGCTTTAAGGGGCTTTGAAGATAAGAACCAACATGGTGAACCATGCCCAGAAACAAATGAGAAACCACTCTGTATCACTCCATTTCTCTCAGCTTGATTAAGAGCCGTCAAATATCTGTTAGTTCCACTGATGTATCGGAAGTGATTCAAGGTCTATCTGGGGCGTTGTATCAACGATGACCCATTTACACATGCGCATTACCGTTTGATGTTGTAGTCATCAAGTGATAAAACGCATGCAGAAATCAGTATTGGGAGCATCTGGGTTTGTTGTGAACAAATTAATTGATTGTCCTAGCTTTACAGTTGTGTGTGAATGCCTGGAAGGCCAGCCACTCTCAACACACTGGGGCTTGCACCTGAAGACCCCAAGGCACTGGGGGTGGGGAGAGAGGGGCTATCTCCTCCTATCACAGTTCCCCACTACATCTTGTCTTTCAGGGAACAAGGAGCGCCTCTTGGCCCTAGCTAAAAACACACGCTATGAGAATCCCAAGCTTGAGAAACTACAGCAAGTCCTCCAGGACCACTTCCGAGCAGACAGTGGCTCGCGGGGCATCGTGTTTGTCCGGACACGTCAGGGTGCTCACTCCCTACACCAGTGGGTAAAGGATAATGTGGATCTGCAACAACAGGGCATCAAGGCTGCTGTCCTGACTGGGGCTGGGTACAGCAACCAGACCAAGCACATGACCCAGGTAAGGCCCAGGACTGTGTTCCTGTTGGACTGAGGGCCAGAGAGAATGGGCTGCATTCACGGACATTATTGTGTTTCATTCACTGACTTCATTTATTCATTTATCTTTCTCACTGAGGCACCAGGTGGATTGCAAATGTGCAGGTTCTAGGCCACTGAGGGGCTGTCTAGGTGACAACCAGTACCTTGAATTGTACCTGGAAAGTAATCAGTAATGTAGTGACTGCAGAATAGAGGCAATATGCATACTCCACCTAGCTGCCAAGAGTGATCAAGTCTCAGCAGACATTACTGCCTGGAGTTTCTTCTGAGTAACATTCAATGGCAGACCCAAGTAGAGTGCATTACAGTAGTCTAGCCATGGCACTGATCAATGTGACCAGATCATGGGGATCAACCTATGCTCCAGGCTAAGTGAAGATAGAAGAAAATTTATTTTTTTTGCCACTGCATCAACTTTCTTTTTCAGCAATAATGCTGCACGCAGTATAACCCCCCCAGACTCTTAACTCAGTCTTTGAGAGTGAGGTGAACCTCATCAGATGTGGGCAACACACTCTCCTCAAGGAACTCAAGTCTTCTCAACCAGCATCACTTTCTTCTTATCGGGGTTCAGTTTCAGTTTATTTGCTTTCAGCCATTTAACTAGAGCAGCCAGAGCACTGGCTCCAGACCTCCGGAGCCACACAAGACACTCTGGGCAAAGAAATATAGAGCTCAGTGTCATTGGCATATTGAGCGTGTGACAAATAACAGTCAATGGTGTGAACATGAGTGCGGACTGACCTGTTATCTTACTGGGGAAATTCCCAGTGGGCTGTTGACTGGATGGGCCACTGGCATCCAGGAGCAAGATGAGCCAAGGGGCTCTTGTGGGGCTGGCACTGCAGGAAGGATGACTTGGAGATAACTTGGGTCAGCAGTGCAGAGATGGCTTGGCTCAACTTGCTCAAGGGTTGTTTGAGCTTCCTGGTCTGCTCTGGCTGCATATGGGCTCCTGTGAAAACCATTGCCTTTGAACTGATATCAGACAGTTCTAACGTGATATTGTCACCCAGTATGTTTATTTGAACTGGTTTTCTGGGGAGGGCTCAGTGGTAGAGCCTCTGCTTGGCATGAAGAAGGTCCCCAGCATCAGTCTCTAGCAACGCCATCTAAAAGGAGCTGGTAGTAGTTGATGGGAAGGACCTCTACATGACCCCGGAGGGCCTCTGCCAGTCTGACCTTGGCTATACTGACTGATGGAACAGCAGTCTGATTCAGTATGAGGCAGCTTCCCGGGGTCAAGAGATTAGGAAATGTAGCCCATTAAAACTGGTAGTATAAATAGGATAACTAATGTAAAATGAACACAAGTGAAAACAGGGTGGAGAAAACCTGGCCATTAGGCCACAACCCACCTTTTTCACCAGCTCTCTAGAAATGTTTTCCATGTCTTTGTTGCTCAAACCCCACACAGATTTCAAGAAGACATTCTCAGTTGATCTTAGACGTCACAAAGGATAAAAGTTGGTCTGTTTGGTATTCATTTTTAAAAATAGTTCTATCCTGTTTCCCCCCCCCACTACGGTGGGAGCTCCTCAAGGTGCATCTCAAGATAAAATAACTAAAATTGAGAAGTAAACCTTAAAGTAACACAATTGGATAAAAAGAACAGCCTAATTTCCTTCAAAGAATCAGTACTGCAAATCCGTATGGAAGGCAATCTGATGGCTCTCAGGGCTTGGTAAAACAGGCTTTTGCCTTCTGAAAGTCTCAACGGAATTTGATCTTGTAGGCCTCCATGAGGAATAGGCCACCTTAAAGACCCTTCCCTTTTGGGTCACAGCCTTGACTTCCGGTTCAAAAACCCAAAGGCGTATCTATTTGTTTGGGGATGGGGGGGGGGGGATACATTCACTGCAAGATCTGTGCAAGCTTTTCGATCCTGACTTCATCGTGGGTGTTTCTTCCAGCACGAGCAGCAAGACGTCATCCACCAGTTCCGCAAGGGGCCACTCAATCTGCTCTTCTCCACCAGCGTGGCTGAGGAGGGGCTGGACATCCCTGAGTGCAATATCGTGGTCCGCTATGGACTGATGACCAACGAGATTGCCATGATGCAGGTCAGTCAGCTCCACCCTCTTGGGGGCCCCGGCTTCTCTGGATGGCACTCTGCCTGCTGTCACAGAAAGTCAGGTAGCAATCAGTAGGTCATCAGAGGGAATACTGTTGGAAGTTTGGGTCACCAAGGGGAAGGTGGGTTGAGTAAACAGGGTGGATGTGCCTTTGGACCAGGGAAGGTGGGCTGGCATGTCTAGGGATAGACCCAGATGGTCCTGTTTGCATCTCAATAGGCCAGAGGTCGTGCCCGTGCCCCCAACAGCATCTGCTCAGTCTTGGCCAAGGCCAACAGCAAGGAGGTAGCCCGTGAACAGCTCAACGAGACCCTGGAAGTCCTGATGGAGAAAGCTATTAAGAGGGTGCAAGAGATGCCTCCGTGGGAATACACTCAGACGGTAAGAGGGTCTCCTGGAAAAGAGACATTTTAGGAGGTGATAGGAAATTCACAGAAGAGTGGCAGAGGTCATTACTGAGTGGATATTTCTGACTGTATTGGGAAGGGCACTGATGACAGAGGGGAAAATGCAACGGCTATAAATGTAGAGCTAAGCTGTGCATGTGGTATAGTTGTTGCTGGATTGTACCATTTTACAGTATGTAGCAGATACTTGGAGTTTTGAATATTCTCTTCAGTCAGAAATTGAGTGGGAATTTAAGATAGGAAGCTTCTCCGTGAAATGTTAGCTTTCTGCATACATGATTAAAAAAAAATATATGAGACAGCATTCAGGCAAGTGACTTCCCTTCCTGTACTCTGAAATAGCACCGTTAAGTACATAATCCTTTACAAGTGAGCCGCTATTATTTCCGCTTCACAGGGGAAAAGTGGCCGAGAGTGACTTTCTCCAGACTGGTCGAGAGACTGATAACAACTGAAGAGGGTGTTCAGTTGTATTCCCTGGGCAATGCTGTCTCTCTCTCAACAATGAAAACATATATTTCTGAGAGAATTCAGACTACAGTTTAATAGATGACTTCCTGTTCAGCGTCTTCCTCTTCCTGTGGGTGGGACAGAAGGAAGGAACAGTGGGGGGAGGTACTTGGGGGTTAACGCCCAGACCACAGCCTAGTAGGGATGAACAGGGGCTTTTGATCACAGAAAAACCTGGATGCTTAAAACCAAGCGGTGTCTCCTGGAAATGCAAAATGCACCCACCTATACACACACACACACAGCAACTTACTTTCTACCTGCCCTCCCTAGATCATAGAGTCACAGAGATGGAAATGGACATAGAAGCCATCTAGTAGTCCAACCCCCTGCTCACTGCAGGATCAGCCTCGAGCTGCTGCTTGAAGACTGCTAGTGAGGGGGAGCTCACCACCTCCCGAGGCAGCCCATTCCACTGCTGAACTCCTCTTACTGTAAAAATGTTTTCCTAATATCCGGCCAGTATCTTTCCACCCATGATTTAAACCCATGATTGCGAGTCCTATCCTCTGCTGCCAACAGGAACAGCTCCCTGCCCTCTTCTAAGTGGCAGCCTTTAAAATACTTAGAGAGAGCAAATACTTAATTAGAGATGGCCCAGTCTAGCTTGATCTTGGAAGCAGAGCAGGGTCAGTCCTGGTTAGTCCTTGGATGGGAGATCACCGAGGAAGTCTAGGGTTGCTATGCAGAGGCAGGCGATGGCAAGACCCCTTCTGAACCTCTCTCGCCTTGAAAACCCCACAGGGTGACCATAAGTTGGCTGCAGCTTGGCGGCACTTTCTGCCACCACTACTTCTCCCCAACAGATCGCGAAACTTCAGCGTGACGCTGTGATCGGCAGCAAGATGCGAGATACTGAACGTGAGAAGCGACGTCAGCTGCATGATCCAGAGGTTGTGCGTCTCTACTGCATCAACTGCAACGAGGCCATCTGCCACGGCTCTGACCTGCGCACAGTTGAGAAAACTCACCATATAAACATCAACCCCAACTTCAGGTGAGGCAGGGTAAAAAGACCAGAAATACCATGCTTTTGCGCTTTTCAGTTTGCTTCCCCCTGGCCCGCAAAGAGGCAGAGGGGGAGATCCTATGAAGTGTGTCCTGGGGGCCTTGTGGAGCCTCCCTCTGACTGAGGTCTATGCACCTGACAAGTTACTGCTTCCCAGTATACACAAGGTGCAGCAAAATACAGCAGGAAATGGACTTTGCTTTGGTATCTTCTCCCCATCACCTCTGAATAAAGGGAGTATCTCAATAGCTCACTTGGGCTGCAGTCAGACATGCAGTTTGATCCAGTGTGGCCCTGCCTCTATTTGATCCGGGTTTTTTTGTAATGGAGAATTGTGATCAGACTCACCTTCTTAGCACGCTTCAAAGTGTTTTCACCCTGTCCTTGAGCAATCAGATGTAGTAGCCAGAGAGTCAGGCTGTTGGCCATTTATTTTAGTTTGTCCTTTGGGCATGCTCACAAGCGCTGATGAACCTGCTGGGAACAAGCGCTGATGAACCTGCTGGGATATGTAGTTCATGAGGCCATCGGCCATTTTTTAAAAAGTTTGTCCTTTAAGCATGCACAGAAGTCCTTGATGAGCTTGCTGGGATATGTAGTTCACTGTCATCCTCCCTCTCTAATCTTTTCAATTAACCCCTTTCCCAAAGCACAGAAAAATGCTGAAGTACAGAGGTGTCTTTCTTTGAATGTTTTTACAAAGAAAACACAGTTTTGAGAAGCCCCTATGGCAGAGAGAGAGAGAGAGAGAGAGAGAGAGAGATGTGAATATGCAGTTATGTGCACATCGCTACCTAGTAAAAAAAATGGTGGCTGGAAAACAAGAGACCAGTCATACCTGCCTGACAGCTTGGGTGTACAACAGAGTGATCAGACAACAGGAAATCTGGTTTGAAACCAGCTCAGCCCCAAAGGACTGGACTTTCACAGGTATCAAAGAAACATGCAGTAAAGAGGGGTGGGGTGGGACGCAGACAACTGGGGCATGACAGACAGATGTTGCTGTCTGATCATGCATTTTAAATCCAGAAGGGAAGAGTAACGGCAACGGATCAAACTGCACGTCTGATCGTAGCCTTGGTCTCAGTGCAGTTTGAGTCCTGAGACATTTTAGCAATACATAGGCCCCGGTCACACTGGGGGGAAAGGTGCGGCTTTTTTGAGCCGCATCAAAAGAGAAGCGCAGCAGCGGGATCAGACAGATCCCCCGAGCCGCGGCGCAGTTGCTCCCTGACATGATCAGATGCCGGGGGGAAGCCACAGATCGGTGAGCGGGGCGAGCTCGCTGTGCATGTGTGTGTCTGCGCAGTTTGGCAACTGGTTAGGACAGTTCATCGTGGAGGGTGCTGTTATGTGGCAAGGGATCTGTTCCCTCCTACCTCTTAGCAGCATGAGCGGCCACTGACATTTTCTCTGCTGCCAGTTTGGTCCAAGTCAAGCCCCTGCACCAAAATACCTTGGAACCATGTGACATATTCCCTTTCTCCATATACACATACATACCCACCTCCGACTGGGATTTCCCCCAAACAATTGAAAAAGGTGATCTAGCTGGATTGAACATCTAGGGTCAAAGTAGATTTGTGTGCTCATTTTGATTTACCAGGGTGTCAGGAATAAGATACTACAAGAGGGGACCCGCAACAAAATGTTGCATAATGTGTTGTGACTCCCTGAGCTAGGACAAAAATCTGTGAGCTGGAGGCTAAAAAGCTGTAGCTAGCTCACACTAACTCAGCTTAGAGGGAACACTGGTGGCTGCAGTCCAGAGAAACCCCACAGTTTAAAAGTAATCATTGTTATCAAAGCTCTGCAGTTTTAATAGCATTCCCATGACTAAATTACTGTAACTCAACATTACAGCTGATTTAGCAATGCCACTTTGGTCAGGATGAGGCATCAAAGAGCAGCGTCGCTGGGGGGGGGGAGCTACATTTGAAGCCTCTGCCATTCCCACTCTATTGGCATTCCAATGAGGGGAAAGAACTGGCCAGGCTGACCCACCCCTGGGCAAAATCCTTCTGCTCCAGACTTCTTTGCAAAGGGTGATGGAAAAGTTTGCTGGCTCTAGCATCTGGTATCTGAGAAGGAAGTTTGGCGCACACTCTTGCGGCACTGGGAACTTCTTTCGCCTGCTCCAGTTTCCCCGGTGGTGGGGTGGGGTGTATGTGCGCTTCCTTCTTGCAAAGTGGAAGGAGCTGCCCAATGAAGAGAGCTGGGAGCTGCTGCAGTTTGCTTTAAATCCCAACGTTGTCTGTTGGAGGCTTGAGCGTTCGGTGGAGGGGGCATGGCCATGGGGAGGACTCAATGCTATCAGAACAACAGGAGAGAGAGGGAGGGGAGAGAAGGCTCCTCCCCTTCTGCCCTGGTAAGTCCGTTCTCTACGCAGCCACAGTGAACTCTGTTTTACTTTTTGGCTGAAGTTTTTAGATTTTTCTGCACACCTGGGAAGTAACTGACGTGTGCAGAATAATCTCTTCCCCCCCCCCCATGCGGTCCCAATCTGCAGAAATAAGTATCTGCACAGAGAGGGGACCCTTGGCTATTAGTATATAGATAATTTCAAGTCCTGTGTCAAATAAGTGTTTGTTCTTCATCCTTAAACAGACTGTACTACAGAAAGTCACTTGACCATGTGGTGATTCCTCGTACCTTCAAGGACTGGAAGCCAGGCAGCTCCATTAGCTGTAGTATGTGTGGGCAGGTAAGTACCCCCAAGTTTTAGGGACTGGAGTAATGCATAATTAATTCCTTGTGTAGATAAGATAAAGGTGGGTACATTTTTCTAATTCACCTGCTTTATTTGAGAGAGAAACATCACAGGTGGAAAGGAGAAACAGATTGGGAACGGCAGGGGCAGTGAGATTGAGGTCAATGAGGGTGGAGTCAGCTTTACAACCAGTTGACTTATCCACATGACTTCACTTATTCCTTTAGGACAAATTTCCCCTATATTCTCAATTTACCAGGGTGTCAGGAATAAGAAGATATTATGATTTCGAGTCCCTAGGTCAAATAAGCATTTGTTCTTCATCCTCAAACAGACTGTACTTCAGAAAGTCACTTGACCATGTGGTGATTCCTCATAACTTCAGAGACTAAAGTCACCTGATCCCAAGATGAAGGCTATATTTGCATTGCAGGCATCGATACAGAGATTTCTCCTTGTAAAGCAGGTCCTGATGGCAGACCTCTTCCATGGTTTGTTCCATTGATGCAACTAAGGGCCAGTAGATTTGGAGGAGTGGACATAGGGTATGTGGCATTATCACTACCATATGTGAAGGATGGCACAATAGCGCCATGAATCATGAGTTTCAGCCCCAATAAATGGTCTTAACTCTTAAAGGGAAGTCTTCTACCACGCTTTACACTGTGACTGAAATTCATCCTCAAAGCCAGGGGAACCAGGAGTGCATTAAGGGAACCATTTGTCTCCACATCTCACTGTGGGTCCCTAGAGTCATGATATAAGGCAGAACTTGCACAGAAGAGGAAATGAGGACAGAGAACAGAGACATCCAGATTGCATTGCTGAAAATGTCTTGATAGCACTGGAGGAGGGTGCCATTTGTCAGATTTTAGACCACATGCAACTTGTGTACTCAAGAACACCTTTGTGTGTCAGGTTTGTACAAAGACTTGTTCTACATTCCCGTACTACAATCCAGTAGTTAAGTACAGTCAAGTCACTTAAACACATTTAACTTTGTGTTGGAGTATGGCCCAGGAAGTATGCCAGATAAATGCAAGTCTTGCCCCTTCCTCCTTCAGTCCCTTCCCTGAAAATGTCTTGATAGCACTGGAGGAGGGTGCCATTTGTCAGATTTTAGACCACATGCAACTTGTGTACTCAAGAACACCTTTGTGTGTCAGGTTTGTACAAAGACTTGTTCTACATTCCTGTACTACAATCCAGTAGTTAAGTACAGTCAAGTCACTTAAACACATTTAACTTTGTGTTGGAGTATGGCCCAGGAAATATGCCAGATAAATTCAAGTCTTGCCCATTCCTCCTTCACCTGATGCAAGTCCCTGCAGGAGAATTGTTAGTAATGTTGGGAAAGTGTGGGGTTATCATCACCAAGGAAATAACCTTTACAGATCATGGGTCATATTCTTCTGAAGAACCTTTTCTGGTCATCTCTGCCACTGAATAGTAGATATTCCATTAGATTTAACTCTCTGCCAGGGACAGAGTTGCATGATGTGAGGGTTGTCTTTTTGCCGCTTCCATAAACCCTTGAACTACTGACTTATCCACTGCTGACATGGACTAAATGTGATGCTGTTTTCAGATCAAGGTAAATTCTGATAACTTAAGCTCACTGGCTTTATCCACACACAGGCCTGGGGGACGGAAATGATCTACCGAGCGGTCACCCTGCCCATGCTTGCTGTTAAAAACTTTGTGGTGGAAAGCCCAGATGGCAGAAGGACCTATAAGCAGTGGAGCAAAGTTACTTTTGCCATTGAGGAGTTTGACTACACTCAGTATTGTGAAACCAACGTTGAGCTGGATGGCCTGGACCCTTAAAGCTTAAGAGAAGGAAAAGGAAAACATTAAGTTTGCTTCTTTGGATAAAGTGGCTGCCTACATTAGTTGACGTTGTTTAGGCACGAGGCTTTTCAGCTTGTTATATGGGCACTGTGGAGTCAGTCTGGATGATGAGTTGAGCCTTGGATCTGGGTGACCTGGGTTCAGGTCCTGCCTCTGCCATGGATCCACTGCTTGGTCTTGTGGGAATCAAACTTGCTGTCAGCCTCTGGATCCTTGTAAGAGTGACCCAGCCCACAGAGCCAGAGGATGAATACAAGACCCCCCCAAGCACCAAGAAGACAGAGCATCACTTGCCCCAGAGCCCCTATCTATACCTTGTGGCTAATAGCCACTGATGGACCTCTGCTCCATATGCTTATCTAATTCCCTTTTGAAGCCGTCCATGCTTGTAGCACCCACCACTTCCTGTGGCAGTGAATTCCAAGTGTTAATCACTCTTTGGGTGAAGAAGTACTTCCTTTTATCTGTTCTAACCCGACCGCTCAGCAATTTCATGGAGTGCCCACGAGTTCTTGTATTGTGAGAGAGGGAGAAAAGTACCTCTTTCTTTACCTGCTCTTTCCCATGCATAATCTTATAAACCTCGATCATGTCACCCCTCAGTCGTCTTTTCTCCAAGCTAAAGAGCCCTAAGCGCCTTAACCTTTCCTCATAGTGTTCCAACCCTTTTATCATTCGAGTTGCCCTTTTCTGCACTTTTCCCAAAGCTATAATATCCTTTTTAAGGTGTCCAGATCAGGGCACTTTAAAAGGGATGAAACCAGAAATAATTTTAAGCCAGAGTGTAAGGGTGATGCAGCAGCCACATTTCTGATTTAAGCAAGAGGTCCAAGCACTTGCTCAGTGTGTGGCTTGTTCTCCCTTGCAGCTTAGCCTGGGAGCTAAGATGGGTTGGCCACAATCAGTGCTTGGATAGGAGACCACCAAGGAAGACTGGGGTTGCTATGCGGAGGAAGGCAGTGAGCAAAACCAACCTCTGATCCTTTATCAGGCTGCCAAAGGGAGCAACTGCAACCCCAAATGCTTCAGTTTTAAACCACATCTGGCCAAAACCTCTTGAGTCCTAGTTGCATTTTATTTTCAGATGCAAGCTAAGTAGGAAATGGGCTTACCATCCTCTTTTTATGGTGTTCGTCCTCTTTTGGGCTCTTTTTTAAAAAAATGATGAAAACACCCTCTTTTTGGGTTGGGAGGTTGAGCCCAGTTTGCCCTATAGCCCCCCCCCCAACCCCCCCCCCCCCCCCCGTGGAGGCAAGCTTCAGCTTAAATAGTTGGGGTATTTAAAATGAGATTTGTCGTAGTGATCAGTAGTTTGAACTAATCAGTTGGGAAATATGTCCTCGTTTTTGCTTTTCAAAATATGGTAACCCCTAGATGACATGTATAACCTCATTTACATATGCCTGTGTTATCTGTGTAATTGTGATTGCTTACTTAATCAACTGAAGAATAATAAGACTGATTTTAAATAAAGCTCATAAGAGATAACATTGAGTGATTCTTGGCTGGTAGCTTTCCCCAAGACTGTTGTTTATTCTCACTGTATGAAATCTTTGCAAGGTGCTCAGATCTGAAAGCTGGCGAGTATCTGATGCGGAGAGACCAGCAGGAAAGTCGGGTAATCTGGTGGTGCAGACAGATATTCACTTATTTATTTTTATTTATTTAAAACAATCACTTTCCATCTTGAGATATCAGAATCAAGGCAATTAAACAATGCAATGTCAGTTGCAAGTGCAGAAAACATCAGGATCCAACAAAGATGATTTAAAAATGCTCAGATAAATTAAAATAGTGCATTAAAAAAAATCAGCGATTTAGGCTGCCATCCTAAGAACATGTTTCTGGGAGTAAGACCTACTGAATAACATAGAACTTACTTCTGAGTAGTCCTGTTCAGGACTCCTCCCTGACAAGCATACCATTAAAACCCCCGCAAGAACGCAAAAATTAAAAATACACAGAATAATAGTTTAAGGGCTTCCCTTAACTACCAGTAGCCCAGACAGAGGGAATGCACTTGAAATGGGAAGTTCTGACATCACCTGGTTTAACAGGACTGTCCCTTGGGTATCACCAGTTCCCAGAATGGGAAGAAGAAATGCAGAATTCTTTCTACCACAAAGACTATCAAGAGGTCCAGCTTTTCTCCATTGCATCTGAGCACCTTACTCATCGTTCCACACCCTTCCCCCAGACCATTCTTTCTCAAAGTTACACTTCATCCCGTAAGTAGGGCCAGCTATTACCCTTCACAGGCAGGATCCAGACAGGTAAACTTCTATAAACTCCAATATCTTGTCACCATGTGATACTTGTGCTGAAAATAAAGCAGGGTCTTCAGGACCTTTTTAATCAAGAAAAGCAACTGAAGCATTGCCATAAGAGGGACCCAAGTTTGCAAAGGCTTCCTGAATACCATCAATCCCAAGTTTTATGGAGTTTTATAGACTCTAGGATAGCACTGCTGGACCTGAAGGCAGAAAAACAGAAAGACTGGATACAAGCTACCCTGGGATTGAACAGGGCACAGTATGGTGAGAGTTAAATCAAGCAGGGCGCTTCTTCCTCAACCTGTCTTATTTTAGTGTCACTCAGCATCTGAATTCTTTGTCAGACTTACTTTAAACCTGTTACAAAGAAGAGAAATGGACAACAGTACTAAGGTCACAGAGAACAATCACCGATTTAATGACATTTTTTATTTTACAGGGTACAAATTTTTAAAGTTTTCAACAATAATTAAAGTGCGTAATTTTACAGTATTCCAGCTCCCGCTTGTATGGATCAAATATACATATGTTACCTTTCATTTGAGGAAGGAAAACTGTTGCAATACAAAAGACCAAAGGAGAGAAAATAAATCTTGATAAGAACTTCAAACCGAGAGACGTAGTTATTTCAAGAGGGTTGCGATCACCTCAAATATAATGTTCACACCAAACCATTCCTGAAATAAACAGTGGATATTTATAAATCTGAATACATTTTCACATGGATGGGACTGAAGGAAGCCACGTGTAGACAAGACTTCCTATCGAAAGTGTTACTGTGCAGACTAGAGATTTTGTTAAAAAATCTGCCTGCTTTGTTAGTTGCTCTGCCAAGAAACAAGAAGGAAAAAGAAAGGATGAAACCTAAGAATTTTCTTCTCTTGAGTACACTGCTTAGATTGGGGTGGGGAGTAGGAGGAGTAATTCATTTAGTATGAAAAGAGATCTCATTTATATGACTTGTGCTTAAGAAACTGGATTGTCTGCTTTCCTGTTCAGTTTTGCCATCGGTCACTGATGTGTCTGCAGTTTACCCTTACCAAAGACCACAATATCACTCCCTCTGTCACACCCACACAAAACCTTCCTTGGAAACATAACCTAGGCTGGTTACAGCACATTTAGCTATTTCAGATTACACCAATATAAAACATCTTAATCATGTTACACATTAATTTGCTGTTCAGCTCCTGTAAGTTTGAACTGCCTTCCTGCCAATGTATCTGAGGAAGTGTGCCTTGCACACGAAAGCTCATACCTTGAATAAAACTTTGTTGGTCTTAAAGGTGCTACCGGACTCAAACTTTGTTCTACTGCTTCAGACCAACACGGCTGACCACCTGGATCTATAACCAGAAGATGATATGCTACTCATTTCCTACTGTAGAACAAAGTTTGAATCCTGTGGCACTTTTAGGACCAACAAAGTTTAATTCAATAAAACAAAACAAAACTTTGTGGGTCGTAAAGGTGCCACTGGACTCAAACGGTGTCCTGCTGCTTCAGACCAACACGACTACCCCACCTGGATCTATTTCCTACTGTAGTCACTGTAAAGGGAATCAGACCGTTACATTTCAGGTCTCCCAAGGGCTGCTTCGCATATTCATAAGAGGAGTAGTATCAAGGTATATGTCACTATGAGGCAGAGGCTTTGAGAAGTGGGTTCCAAAGCCAACATTGGCATCTCTTATGTTCTTCCTTATGTCTATGTATCAAAATAAGGGTGTTATTTGGACTTTTCACTCCAGGTATGAAACTAGCTAAGGCCATATTTCATGTTTGGCATACTTGTTCTCAACCCACAGTGTGGGAGTTGGCTGTAACTTGTAGCCCATGGAAACATGCTCCAAGGAGCCACTGTTGGCCTTGACTCACTCACAGTCATTTTCCACACTGTATACATGTGGCAGGGGTTAGGGAGAGAATGACAGCATAGTGCTGTTCTCCATGTTATAGCACAAAAATGAGCAAATACTGCTTCTACTACACATGAAGTGATCATCAGCATTCGCACAATTAAAGTATGACTTTCGCTTCTTGGCCTTTTGGCTAAGATCATGTGTAGGACTTTCTAAGTAATGTGTTCTCCATGTTATAGCACAAAAATGAGCAAATACTGAATGTGCAAGAACACTGCTTCTACTACACGTGAAGTGATCATCAGCATTCGCACAATTAAAGTATGACTTTCGCTTCTTGGCCTTTTGGCTAAGATCATGTGTAGGACTTTCTAAGTAATGCTCAGGGTCCGAGGCCCTACGGGTACATGCAGTTCCTATAGCTGGGTGCTGCAGATAGAATTCTGCATGCACACAGGATGCTTAATTTGCCAGCAATGGGGAACTCCATTCATGCACACCAAGCTATATCTGAAGCTCTATAATGTGTTGCAATGAACACATGAAATTCCTGTTTGTGGAGGCTTTTCAACAGATTGAACAGCTCTGTGTGTACTGCCCTTGGCAAAGCAGCTGCCAGAGAGGTTTTACTTTGATTCTGGTTGTGGGTTGCACGTATGTAAGCAGGAGCCACCACAGCTTTTTCTCCTGCCCCCAGCAGAATCCACCACAGATTCCATTATCGGTTTACACACACGTGCACGCACGCTTTGGGTGGGATATCCATTTCTACATTTAAGAAAAAAAGTTCATTCACTACCTTACCAAGATAGAGAAATTCCAAAATCCAACAAATGGAACAACTTTTTAGAATTTTGCCACAAAATTTCCAGAGAGACGAGGGGAGAGACTTTATAAAGACAGAAGTGCCAGCATTACTAGTACTGTGGCCAGCTGACTTCGAAGAATCTATATGACCAGCCTCAGTCCTTAAGCAAACTCCGGAGCACGACGGAAGACAGGAGGGCCTGGCGTGATGTGATCCATGGGGTCGCGAAGAGTCGGACTCGACTGTGCGACTGAACAACAACCAGAAGAACTGACAAGACTGTGGCCAATGAGCTT